CGTCTTCTCTCAAGACATATCCAAGAGGAAAACCTCTCACACCATAGCTCTCATGGATGACAGATCTAAAGGCAGCAAGCCATTTCATGATGGGCAAAGCTTTGCTGACACATGGTACCTTTGGATCTTCCCGCTCTTGGGCAATCTTCAGTTCTTCACGCTCCTCTTGATACATGATGACTGTATTTGTCCATCTCATACATGCTGCAGTGAGTGCTCTGCCAGTAACAAGGTAAAATCGGACAGCAGAGGCAGCAGTCTTGAGGCGTGAAAGAGACAGGGCGCTGAAGACATCATTTGGAGGGCCATGTCTTGTGATGTGCTTGTGAATATCATCAAGCATGCCGTCATTGAACTCCTTGAGCGAATCTATTGTTGTGATGCCTTGCTGATTCAGATGGGGAGCGAAAATTCCTAGTGGAATTGCCATCTGAGCATCCTGGGTGAAGAAAGCAGTGTTTTGGGCATTTGTGATGACCATTCTGGGTAGTCAATAGACAGTGGGGACTGATAAACTGTTTTGATGTTGGGTGATGACAAAGGAAAAGACGCAAAACCTTGTTGTCTGAAAATTAATTGAATTGTGTGCAAAAACATGCACGTAAACAATCGCTAGCATCGCCAACGTTCACCAACGTTCAATTTGGTGGACTAACCGTTGTTTTGTCTGTCTGCCTGACGTTAGAACAATACTGGTAGAGAGTCCTCTCGCTCGTTTACGTGTGACAAACAGACGGTACAGGACAAACTGCAGACGATGGCTATAGAATGGGATTTTTGGGTTTCTGGAGCGGCCTGTAATGGCAGGCTTGCGAGGGATGTCCTCAGATATGTCGTGTCGATTGCTCAGCACGGATGACGGAGCTGACTTGCCGGAGACAAACTCTGTGCAATGCAAAGCTTGGGCTTCCTTGAAAACGAGCCTTCCAAAAGCTTCGTTTTCATACGTGGACGCTTCGTCCATGGACGAAGAATAGTCGGGCACCTTCGTCCATGGACGAAAAATAGTCGGGCACCTTCGTCCATGGACGAAAAATAGTCGGGCAACTTCGTCAATGGACGAAACTTGGTCGCATTCCGATATTATTTTAAAACCTCTTGATCGGATCAATCCTAAGTCTATTCCGCGTCAAAGTCTAATTGACTGCTGGCGTTCGAATTTCTGAAAGTGTGCAACATATCTATAGCGCCCTCTGGAAACTTCGGCGCATTGCTGTGAAGAGATTTTTTATGTTGCCTCGAGCCAATTTTGTTACGATACCGTTTTTGTCGTTACGGCCTGTCATACAGGTACTTCTTGAAGCAGCTCCAGCAAGAGTGAAACAGTTTAGCCAGGCCCGATAATTGGAATACATGCAGGATTTCTTTCGAGCTCTGACACCAGTTTCGTCCATTTTGTCCATGGACAAAGAATAGTCGGGCACCTTTGTCCATGGACGAAAAATAGTCGGGCACCTTCGTCCATGGACGAAAAATGGTTGAACACATCGTCCAGGGACAAAAGTTCAACGGTTCGGAAGCAAATCAAATGGTCACGCGCGCCGAGTAGTTTTGAGGGAAAAAGCGCGCCAGACCGCCAAACTGGGCGAAAAATTTAACGACTATGCTATTTTATGTGATATTGTCCGAACGACATCATCGAAAAGCTGACTCGGTGCGGCTTGGTCCAGTTACAGGCCGCTCCTGTACTTGATCAGGCAAGACGGTAGACGGACTGGCAAGAGAAGACATCTGTCTTCACGCCAACAGTCATGTTGTCAGTCGCTTAAGCGAAGCAACGGTAATTTATTGGACGAAAATTCGGGGACGATCGGCGGCATGGCAGACAAAGGCGTGAACAGAAGCATTCTTTTTGCCAAGTGCAAGATGAGACGATGAAGAGCTAAGGAACCATGATCATCTGAAACACTTCAGAACGATTATATCTTTTTTTTTCCCACCATCCCACCCGGTTCCTGATTTATCTCTTCTGCACCAAATGCTCGGTACCATTCAGGTCCCAAATTTGTGTCACGTTTGAGTCCATTGAGTCGAATATTTGATTCCCGTTTTCAAATCCGGTCCCTAATTCTAGTTACCAAGCTTACGATGCCAAACTTACATCTCTTACTTACGTATGGAGGACTGGCATAATCTCGTTTGGTACAAATTCGTAGTATGCAATCATCCTAGGCCAATCAAGCTAGACATCGAGTCATGAAGTGGAGGCGGCGCCTGGTAATCCGTAGGATTATTAATACTTGAGCGATTGAGAAGGATGAGCAATTTCAAAGTATCAACAGGATCGTACTGTACTTTGTCGGGCTCGCATTTTAAAAATACATAATCGGTTTCTGCGGTATGAGCCAGCCAATCACTGTCCGGCGCGTAAATCCTTAACGATAATTTTCTCCGTAGCAGATCCTACAAGAATTGAATGCTGATTCCGAGCGTGTCGTACATATATGCGTATACATTTATACTTGTAGTCGTATATTTGATAATGCAACGGGCAAATTTAATTCAATCGCCAGAACCGCTTTTTACTTGTCCCCTCACAATTTGCTGGCTAGCTGTCATAAACAACGCAATCAACTCATAATCACATGAAGCTAAAAACAATGGCCACTTCTGTATCTGCATTGGGACAAGAGGGAGGTTTCTGGGTTCCTGAGACTCGCAGTCAAAAGACTGGAAAGGAATCCAAGATTGAATCGTGGTGGGAAGTGAAGAGGTCCGATAACCCTGGTGACCTCAAAGTAACCAGAGGAGCAACACCCCTTGTTGAGCGTTGTATGAGAGTCCATGGATTCAGTGAGGACTTCGCCCGCCGAGTTTTGAAGGGATACCGCCAGTTCATGGAACTCAAATCTGTCATGAACGATTGGAACGAAATGAAGTTGTCTCCTTCTGTTCCCATCAACCAAATGTGGGAGTCGCATTTGCTTGACAACTTGAACTACACTGAAGATTGTCTCCTTCTTTTTGGACGCGTCATTGGCCATAACCCTGATGCTCTCCTTGACGGACCTGCTCTTCAAGCAAGAATTCAAACCACGAAAATTGCGTTCCAAGCACGTTACGGAGATGATTTGGATTCCGATGTCTGGGACTTTGGAGATGACTGGTCTCCCTTGACAATGCAGAGTGAACAACCTATCAAGCCGAGTGATGCTTCTGTGAGTCTTTCCCATACCCCACGAGGTCGCCTTCCAGTTGCCGCTGGTGAAGCTAAAACAGGTGGATCCCCTCCCCAAGGCATCACAACACCTGCAAAGTCTCCAAGCACTCCTGCTACAGGAGGAAACGAGCCCATCACTATCTTCCTCCGGGACTCTGCTACTGGCGAAGAGACTTACTTTTCTTTGAGATACAAGAGCACGCTCAGAATTGTATTCACTGTTTTCGCCGAGCGCAGAGGCTTGAACCAAGACCTTCTCAAGTTCAGTTTCAACGGACAGCAACTCACAGGATACGAAACTCCGCACAGCCTTGGACTCGATGACAGAGCTCGCATCGATGTCACCATTGGCTCACGGTCGTAGACTAATCGTCGCTTGTGAAAGTTGCGGAAAGCCGTGATTCCGTCTGTGTTAGTCATGATGACCCTTGCGCCACCGCCCTTTGATACAGTCGCTGATACCAGTACATACCATTAGTACTCGGAGACCTTACGATTAATCATTGTAGCATTTGTGAAAAAGTACAGCTGAATGCTTCGAATGACCTTGTAGACCTTGGAATTAGTGATGACCTTGTAGACCTTGGAATTAGTGTGTCTCACGTTGTGCTTAGTATTGTCAGGAAGGGGAGAAGAAGTGCGATTGATTTTTGTCAATTATTTCCGTGTACTTGCTTTAATATACCGGTACCGGCATATGCACGTTTGAAAGGATAAATTCCCCTTCTCTCAAATTCGCAATGATTAACCCCAGGCTCAAAGTTCTACTTTTTCAATAATTATAATAAATAAGATCTATTTTAACATGAAACGGGGCAAGGTCTTTCAACAGCATGCCCAGTGTTCCGAGTTCTTGGATTCATTGTCCTTTTTTTGCATTGGTACGGTTGGTGGCCTGTATGTTATCCATTTAACTGCTGGTTTCATCAGAACTTTCTTCTGGAGAGATATCGCTGGTTTTGTTACCGTCACTGCTATCGGCACCAATCTCATTGGTGGATGGTTGTGGCTCTCCTTCTTGATCATGTGAGTTGATTGACCCGTTGGTTGGTGGTTGCGATTCTACATCATCTTCGCCGAGGGCTGCGGGACTAGAAATCTTTTCCTGTTGATCTTTAACATTCCCATCCTCCTCAAGTGATTGAAGGAATGCTTCACGCACTGCCCCAACTTCACCTGATGTAGATGGCGAGGATGTGGTTTCCATTGTGGCAGAGTCGTCTTCGTTGGCCGACTCAGTGTTGCCGTTTGGAGATGTGTCAACGTTTTCCGTTTCTTCGTTTTCATCTTCGGGACCCGCATCCTCTTCCTCGGATCTTACAGTGGCGATTCCAGCAGCAGCCATAGCCACGAAGGGCATTGCTGATGAGTCTTCAACTGTCGGAAGTGTCGCGTCGATGGATCGAGTACAGTCGTCGGTGTCAGCTTCAGAATCAGTCTCTTTGGATGCCTTCCAAGGTCCAGCAGCGGCACCTCCAGCAACCATAACAGCACCAGCACCAGGGCTAGTACCAGCATCAGCATTTGGGGGTTCAAATCTGCCAGCATTTCCGGCACCTCCGTCATCTGCATCACATTCATCCTCTGTGATCAAGTGCTGTTTCAGTTCATGCTGTTGTTGTCTGCGTCTGCGCGAGTGGAACACAGCCAGCGCAACAACTAGTAGAATAACAGCCCCAACGATAATGTAGATCATTGTAGAAGTTGCAAGTCGGTCGATGGGGCCAGCTGTCTCAGGGCACCCCAACACAGATAGGCAGGTCGAGCAAATCGGGCAGTTGCGTGGGCATTGGTCTCTGTCTTCACAAACGAGCAAACCCTTATCAAAGAGCTCTTCGGCGAATGTACAGTTGCAACTGTCCAAGTTGCTGCTATCGCCTCCACAAGACATATGGAGATCCCATCTCCAGAGGCTTTCATAGGTATCGCACTGCAAAATGGAGTTTTGATTAGTTTCACGAATTTAGAATCGAGTCAACATCACAATGCCAGACATACCTGCGTAATGACGAAGTCTTCGTAGGGGTTACTTGTGGTATCATCGTCCACAACTTCGTACTGTGTAACTGTATCATCGCCATTGCCACTGGAGTCTCCACCTCCTGTCGCAGTGCCGTTGCCACCACTGCCACTGCCACTGCCACTGCCATAATCACACCCAGGACCATCTGGCCAGACTTGGGCCTGTTCCGTTGTGTTCAAATCCAAGCATCCATAATAATCTGAAGTTCCCCCGCTTCCGCTGCTGCTGTGGTGATGAGGTGGATGTGGTAACCCTGAATGACAAACGAAAAGAGTTAATAACACGAGTAGTCTTCACCAAGTGATTCGGAAAACATATCTTACTTCTGTGGCTCTGTTCCGCTGTGCGGCGAAGACTTTGATCGTTCGAGCTTGATACAGCTACAGAAGCTACTAGTGCCAGTATAATGGAATAAAGCTGAAGTTTTACCATTGTTGTCGTAGGTGATTTAGGTTTGTTTCAATCAAAGATTATGTCAAATCAAATGTGGAGACTTAGTGAGGAGTATCTCCGCGCGTTGGATTTTCCGGTCTGCGTTGAACGCACAGTTCCTAAATATGTTGTATGTGGCAGGACGACATACGGCGATACATAGACCCTAAATGAACAATCTTGGAAAATACTTAGGCAAAACTGCCAAATCAGCGATTTCCCCCCCGCGATTGAAGTAGCCATGCACGCGCTGTGAGAACTCTCAAAATTGAAAATGGTAGTTAAAAATTAGATGGCGGTTCCACACTTCGAATTTTTCAGGAACACCCGGCAAATGACGAAAATCCGTACCGCGTGGGGTCGACTGTGGCCCATCACGTAAAAATGTCAGTACGCGCCAGCCGAATACTTCTTCGATCGCCAGCCAGTACGTGTCACGGAGGCAACCATGTCATGAAACCGAACCGCCCGCGCGAAGCGGGCGTTACGGATTAAGAAAATCTTTCAACGACAAATTCGCGGTTAATTAACCGCGAATTGAAAAATTCGCGGTAAATTTAACAGCGAATTCGCGGTTAATTGATCCGCGAATTGAGTTTTATGTAGAATCACTCTCATTTCTTCCTCCATACAACAATACCATGCAATAGAATGTTTTGTTCCTCAATCACAGGGTTTCTTCCTATGTTTGGATTGGGAAAGCTGTCCTCTTGAGAGCCTCTAGAGAGAGGAAAAGCAGCTGTTCCAATAGTGAAAATACAAGTGTAAATAGTCTCCTTTAGCATCAACACTACGTTATAGATATATGATTCTACCCCTTGACTTTGAGAGCGTGCAAGTACTTTCCTGTTCTATTCTCCTGGTAGTTGCATTCCCTGAAAACATTCAAAGAAAACTCCTTGCAATACTGTTTTCGTTAAGAACGCCATAG